CAGTGTTACCAACCTCCGATAAGTAAAAAAGGAGTGTCACAAAGAGCTTCTTTTCGAAACTACTTTTAGTGTCGAAAAGACTTCGATATGACACCAAAATAGAAAAAAGTCATTTGCACCCCCTAGAATGGCAGCTTCTAACATTTATTTCATTATAATTCCGTATTTAGGAATTTATAAGGGTATAGAGGTTATGTCCAATTAGGTAAACAATGCGACACAGACACGAAAAAATGGTCAAAATAGTGCCAATTCAACATGTTCTGCCATAATTCTTTTTATTCATAAGAAATAGTGACTGTCACTAATTAAATAAGGCCGATCAGTAATAAAATCGATCAGTATTTGGAAAGTGCCATAATTCTCTATTATTGAGACCTACGCATGCGTATTTGTGACTAAAAATAGTGGCGGTCAGTAATAAAATAAGGATCATCCTTATTTGTGATTGGATAGTGAACGGCAGTATTTATTCCACTATTTTTTAAACATGCGTAAATTTAAATCAAATGTCAGTTGTCTAAATATTTTTCAAATTCTAACCTCATATTATTTATATATATTTTCTGTTTGCGTTTTGTGGATGGATAAAACCGAAAAACATCATTTTCACCCCCTAGAATGGTAGTTTCTAACATTTCTTCCATTACAATTGAGTAAACAACGCGACACTGACGCAAAAAAATTATCAAAATAGTGCTAATTGAACATGTTGTGCCATAATTCTTTTTATTCATGAGAAATAGTGACTGTCAATTAAATAAGGCCGATCAGTAATAAAATCGATCACTATTTGGAAAATGCCATAATTCTCTAATAACAGTTATTTTCTTGGAGAAATAGTTCTGATGCACTAATAAAATAATGTAGATCCATAATAGAGAGTTATTGGAAAGAAAATAACAGTTACTGGAAGACTGCAGTATTACCTTATTTTGTATTCATAATTTTGACAGCTGATAGCTATGTTTATAAATTTCAACCTCAAATAGTTATTTATGCAACAAGTGTGTAAAGTGAACCTTTTTTCACGAATGTGAATTTTGACAATCACATGAGTGAAAAAAGGTGCTTTACGTACGTATTGCATACAAAATTTTTTCTACTACCAATCAAATATGTGTGAAAAAATAAATTTGGACAAATACTTCACGCACTAGTGCGTAAAGAATTTTCACTTTACGCACTAGTAATTTACCAGAAAAGTGCCAAATTGACAGTGTCGATATCTGTCATTGACATTACTTTACGCACTAGTGTGTGAAGTGAACTATTTTACGCACTAGTGCGTGAAGAGAAATTTTACGTCTTCTGAATAGTGCGTAAAGTGAGTACTTTACGCACGGTAGTAGAAAAAAGTGTTTATTCTTGTTTGTGGTTTTGCTGATATCCCATTTTTTGATGTTACCGACATATTATGTTACCTACAATAAAATGAATAAATATTGTAAAAAACAAATTCTCTAATGGCGTTTCCGATTGGTAGATCTAGTGCGGAACTTGTGCAATTTTTTTCTTTTACAGGTCGCTTAAAAAATGCAAATACACTCAGTGTATGTCGTAATCAATATAAATAAAAATATAACGCTAAAATATATACAAGCTTATGTTCCAACTTCCTCACATGAAGATGACGAGGTGGAAACGGTATACGAAGACATAGCGAGAGCAATAAGAGAGAACCCAATGACGCACACTAGGAGGAGACTTTAATGCAAAAATAGGCAGAGGAGCAGAACCAACGGAAACACACATAGGACAGTTCGGACTCGGCACCAGAAATGAAAGGGGAAGATTGTTAGCAAACTTCCTAGAAAGAGAAAGACTCTATCTGATGAACACTTTCTTCCAAAAGAAAGACAAACGTAAAGGGACATGGAATAGCCCAGATGGACAAACCAAAAATGAGATTGACTTTACAATCTCCCGCCATAAACAGATAATCCAAGACGTAGATGTAGTCAATCAATTCAACACTGGCAGTGATCACAGGATGGTAAGATGCATACTGCTCATAAACACAAAAATGGAAAGAAAAAGAAAGATGAAACCAACGACGAAGAGAGGAAGTAGAGAAAAGATAGCAGAAAGAAGGGAAACATGCAAACAAAGGCTGAAAGAAAACTTTTCCAACAATCCAGGAAAAACAGAAGAGTCATTAGATGATAACAATAGGAGAATAACAACAATTATAACAGAAACAGCAGAACAGATAATAGGCCCCCTAGAGAAAACGCCGGCCAAACTGTCGATAGAAACGAAACAGCGACTAGAGAAAAGGAGAAAACTGATAACCGAGGGTAAAAGAGACTATTGAATACACAGAAACCAACAAAACAGCAAGAAAAATGGCGAAACAGGATATACTAAAACATCCAACGAAACAAGTGCAATCCCTATTAGAACAGAACAAAGAACTAAATATATTTAAAAGACATAACACACCTAAGAAAGAGATAACCAAAATAAAAGATGCGAAAAACAACATAGTAGAAGACAGACAACAGATACTAAAAGTTGTGGAATCTTTCTATAGAGATCTGTACGAATCTAAAATAGCAAACACAAGGACAAGGGAAGACCAAATACGAATAGTAAATGCAAACTCGCAGAAGAAATGCCCGACATAAATATGGAAGAACTGGAGAAAGGGTTATCCCAGATGAAAAATGGTAGAGCGGCAGGAGAAGACAACATTCTGCCTGAAATGCTCAAGGAAAGCGATACTAAGACGAGACAAGACTAGTGAAATTATTCAATAAGTGCCTAACAGAAGAACATATACCCAAAGATTGGGAGAATGCTGTAGTTGTTCTGACTTACAGAAAGGTGACCCGACTGATCTCGAAAACTATCGGCTGATAAACTTACTATCACAAATACACTGCTCAACAATCGAACTGGATAATTGCAAATATACTAAAATCCTCATTTAAACAAATAGATAATAAAAAGGTATTTTATATTATCAATAAACAGTTAATTGATTATCAATAAACTGGTTATTGATAATATAAAACACGTTTTTATTTTCTATTTCTTTAAATGAGGATTTTAGTATATTTGCAATTATCCAGTTCGATTGTTGAGCAGTGTATATAAATTATTCACCAGAATAATTACCAACAGATTAGAGCGAAAACTCGAAGTTTACCAATCAAAGGAATAGGCTGGATTTCGAAGCCACTATAGCACGACAGAACATCTACACACAGTCAGATGATCGAGAAAGCTACAGAATATAATATAAACCTATGGATGGCTTTTGTCGATTTCCGGAAAGCCTTCGACACAGTAGAAATCTGGGCAATAATAAAATCCTTGAGAAATGCCAGAGTGGATCAACGTTATATAAACCTCATTGAAAACATCTATAAGACTTCGACAATATCGATAAGACTTCATGAATCATCTGACAGAATAAATGCCAAAAGAGGAGTTTGGCAAGGGGGCGTAATATCTCCAAAACTATTCACTTTAGTGCTCGAGGATATTTTCAAAAAGCTACAATGGGAAAACAAATGATTGAACATACATGGTGAACGCCTGCACAATCTAAGATTTGCCGACGATATTGTACTGTTCGCGAAAGACAAACAGGAATTGATAGATATGTTGGAAGAACTACAAGATGAGGCGGCAAAAGTAGGATTACACATGAACTACACAAAGACCCAGTTTATTACAAATGCACCAGATGCAGACGAAACAATACCGATCCATGACAGCACAATAAAAAAGACAGAAACATACATATACCTTGGCCAAGCTTTAACACCAGGCAAACAAAATTCAAGAAATGGAAATTGATAGGAGAATTAGACTGGGATGGGCGGCTTACGGCAAGTTAAAGTACATCTTCAGCATGAATATTCCAATGACTCTAAAATCAAAAGTCTATAACGAGTGTATACTGCCTGTTGTCACGTATGGCTGCGAGACCTGGGTGATAACCAGAAGAATTAAACACAGATTAGAAGTACATCAGAGAGCCATTGAAAGACGAATTTTAGGAATTTCCCTGAGAGACCACAAAACAAATACATGGATAAGGGAAAGAACCAAAGTCTTCGACATAATAAAAAGAATTGCTTCCCAAAAATGGCAATGGGCAGGACACGTGGCCAGACATACAGAAAACTGGAGCGGGTATATCACTAGATGGAGACCTTGGGAAGAGAGGAGAAGTGTTGGAAGACCCCAACAAAGATGGTACGACGATATAAAGAGGGTTGCAGGCTTGAATTGGTACCGAGTTGCGCAAAACCGAAGACAATGGTCAAATTTGAAAGAGGTCTATATCCTAAGGATAGAAAACGGCTGAAAGTGGAAATGGAATGGACACTCAGTGCGCACTGAATCTACCAATCGGAAACGCCATAAGTAAAATTACGTCATAGTCGAAAAGCGAAACGTTAAAGTCGTCAAAAATGTCAGAAATATTGAAATAAGGGAAGTTAACTGTCTCGCACTAACCATACACAAATAATGACAAGCAGTAACCTTAATAAGAGAATCCTTATTTTCAGACCCAAATGCGCATCCGTAGATATCAGAATAAAGCTAATTTAAATACTGCTTGTCCTTATTGCACGTCCAATAACTCTCTAATACTGCGAGGCAGTATTTAATAGTTCCAGTAACTCTCTATTGTCAAGTGTTTTACAACGCCTTAAATCAGATAAAAGAACAGCTTTAAAGTGTATCAGCTTTAAAGTGTATGTTTAACATCTTTTGCACTTTCATTTTGATAAATGTTTCATCCGGCAACATCGCACAATGAAATTGCGAAGGAATATGTCAATCAAATATTAGTTTGCTTTTTGTCGAATTCTGCGTTAGGTACAAAGAAAGAAGTGCTACAAAAGTGTATCTTTATCCTTATATTTTACATAATTTTAGAAAAAGATGCGGATACACTCACTGCGCACTGATTGACAAAAGGAAATTGTCATAAAGTACCTGCAGGTCACATTTTGACATGACAATTGAATAGAAGCCGCTGATTGGTGGAAAGGTGGAATTCGAGGTGGGATTTATTTTTTTGCAGCGTTGCTAATTTTCATTGAAAAATAATTGCTTTCCACGTGTTAGAGAAAGATACAAAATAACACAAGGTTTAATAAGTAGTGGGGAGAGATGCGGTTCCTGGCATGTAGTCAACCGATATTATTGTTTATTGTTCTGTCTATCTGTGTTAATAGGTCATTGCGCCTAGCCCGTAATAAACTTCACTTTCTCACCTGCTTGCCACAGGCTGCGCGCGCCGATTCAGGTATTACGAGATATGTCAATTGTTCAACCTTCATAATCACTGACAACAATAGAGTGTCAAACGTAAATAACAAAATTTTCGTGCAAAAAATAATCATTAGAGATGGCCGAAGATGATACAAACCCAGACTTGGCTGCCACCGACGATGAACTAGAACCAGAACAACAGCGGCCAGCCCAAAAAAAAAGGCAGAGAAGGCAACAATCAGCTCAAAAACGACAGGCCCGTACACGTCCACTATCTCCAAAAGAAAAATGTCATTCTAGAATCGACGAACTTGCAACTCCTAGTCGAAGACTGATTCTTGCGTTGTACCAAGAACATGCTGCTCACCTGCCAAAGGACAAAGTGGAAAAAGTTAAGGAAATGCTTCAAGAATTATACGCAATGACGCCGGATGAAACTGAAAAATACTTCGAGCATTTGAGAAATAAAGCACAAGAAGTGGAACAGAGAAAAGATATTAAGTATATGTTGAAAAAACTAGTCAAGAGGAGGAAAAAGGCAAAACAAATCGCCGAGGCGTATAAATTTATTCGAAAATTACTAATTGAAGGCATTGAGTATGCTTCAAAACATCCCATACCTCCTCTAGTCTCGGTGAGACTGAGAAACTTATCAAACATAATACTTGAACAAATTTGTGACTTAAGAAATACCAACATACCTAACAGGGAGGATCCTACACAAGCTGGTTTGTTTTTTATACAAGTAGCTGATTGGATGGCAATATCTATTGAACATTTATACTATGGTGTGCAATTGAAGAAGAATAGAGAATTGGAAAAAATAGAAAACGAAGCTAAAGCGAGAGAGAAGGAAAAAGCGAAAAGCGATGAAATTGAGAAAGAAAAAATAATATCTGAGGCTGACAATGAAGGAGCTGATGTTGTCATATCAGAGCCAGTAACTGTTTCGGAGATAGAATAGGATATTGTTTGTTGATATATTTTTTTTTGATATACTTAGGTATTTCTTTATTAAAGTAAAATTACATGTGGTGCTGTCGGCAAAACCCATTCATCTTAGATTGTATCGTTATTGACAAGATAAAAACTAGTACTTTTTACAGATAGGTACCTACGCACGCATAAAAGAACTTCACTAAAACAAAATGAAAACAAACGCGTTTCTGTTATTTTAGTATCGCTAGTATTTCCAATGTCACTTCCTTCTGTACGGCCTTCACTGAGTAATTGTAATTGTTCTTAATCTCGACGCAGCTCTTTGATTTCTTATCGGAAAAACAATAACAATCAAGTTGTTGCTGTTACATTTTTTTACATTCACAATTAACATAATAATGATATTATTTGTTACGTTTAATAGAAAAGAAGCCATTGATTTTTCTCGTTCACATCATGCCACTTTTTTCTTTACTCTTGAATAAGTAAAGGTATGTATAGGTTATTATGTATAAGGAGCTAGTCATTTAAATGCAAGTCATGTAAATATAAATTAATTTCTTAGTTGATTTTGAATGTAGTTTTGTAAAATTTATTCACTTACTAGTTTAATTAAAGTTTAGGCTAAAAAATGGAATACTAATGGCCATTTGCACGGTTATCACTTAAGGGATATTTATTCTTAGTGAAGCTTTGAATGTAACTTTTGTTTCTACAAGAGTCACATTCAAAGCTCTACTTGGATTAAATATCCCTTAAATTAAAGCGGTGCAAATGGCCGTTAGGTACATCAAATTGAACTTCAGGCAGAATTGGTTGGTTAGGAATTTTGAACTGAACTTAGATCTTGGATAGAATTCTCTGCTTTTGTCAATTTTATCTTGGATTAAAAAAAGTTTTGTTCAATCTTTTCTTTGAGTACCTATTAGTTTTTTGTGTTCTTCTAATCTCTTTTTGATTGGTCATTTTGTTTCTCCACATTCGGATGGTGCTTTATAAATACTATTATTTGTGTTCTTCATGGAACCATCTCATGAAAAATATAAGTGTTTGGTGCTGACACTGTATTTTGGCAAAGCAAATTTCAAGAATGCACTACACGGTTTACTATAAAGCTTTTCCTAGGTAGTTTTGACGATCTTTCCTGTTCAAGCTTCTTGGCTACGAAGATGAGGATTTCGACATGGATGGAAAACATTTATCAGATTACACTGATAGTTATCACTTGTTATTTTGTAGGTTTCATTTAAATCGCCCCTGTGCCTTCTTTCTTTAAGAGATGTCAAATTGAATTTAAGTAATTTTTCTGGGATACGGCAACTGCGCTGAATCTTCTCAAGAAAATCTATATTCTTAATGTAAAATGGATTCCACACAGTATAAACATATTCAATTTTTGGCCTTATATAGCTTTTGTAAAGGGTAGATATCATCTCAATGGAGTGGTCTCTAAAGGCATGGTCAATAAAGTATATGTAGGAGTTTTAGCTTTTTTAGTTACTTGAATTATGTGATTCTCCCACCTCAAGTCGATTGTTACTACAACTCCCAGATCATTTTGTTCATTTACTGATTTCAATGCAGAATCATTAAGAATATATTCTTTATTAGGCTTATTTGAGCCAATCCTTAGTACTGTGCATTTTGAGGAGTTCAATTTCATTTTTCATGTTTTTGACCACTCTTCATTGTTCTTAAGATCAGTCTGAAATAAATCCGCGTTTATCAAATAATTTGCATAGATTTTTCAATCATCTGCAAACAATTTAACAGTTGATTGGATCAGTTCCACTAAATCCAAAAAATACACTGTGAACAGCCCCGGACCGATCACCGGACCCTGCACGGTTACTCTATGGGAACTGGAAAGCTCTTCATTAACTCTCACTTGAAAAAATGTTTTCTAGCAGATCCTTGATCAAGGCAAGCAACTTTGCTCTAAGTCCAAAGTGCTCTTATATTTCACTAATAACAGGTTATGTGGGACTTTGTCAAATGCTTTTTCATAATCTAGATAGATAACATCTGTTGGTAGGCCATTTTCATGGTTGTTTGTCCAATCATTTAGACATTCCAAAAGATTGGTAGTGGTAGAATATTTTGGTAGAAATCCATGTTGGGCTGAAGATATAAGTTCCTTAACAAATTTTTTCCATACGCGGATAGGGAGATTATTTTTTGGTCTTTGTCGATCTCCTTTTTTGTACAGTGGCGTGACAATGGAATATTTCCAAGGTGCTGGAATTTTTGTTTGATGATGCCTACATTCCTGCATTACCCCTGCAAGCAATGGGCTAATTCTGACACTACAGTTCTGAAGAAAAACTATAGGGATTTCATCAGGTCCTGGGCTTGACTCTTTTTTCATACATTCCAGGGCTTGAGTCGTAAATTGTATTTCTTTGATAGACCTCTCCACTCTATTGGCATAGGGCTGGAGCCTGATAAGCTTCAGTTGTAAAAGTTGTGTCAAATTGCTCACCAAATTTCTCTGTCATGGCTACACCATTCAAAAACCGCTGCAGGATCTTTTGAAATTATGGTTCATACCTTAGAATTCAAAGTTCGACCTATATACTTAAACAGTTTTTTTTGGTGAATCCGCATTCGCAAGACCATTTTAATACTCTCTCCGGGCATCAAGCAAGTTTTTTCACTCCACTCTGTAACATGTAGGTAATCTTGATAATTGTTTGGTGTATTGTAGTTATCCCATAATCTACGTTTTTTATCTATTTCTCTGAAAAACTGCTTTATCCAAGGTTCTTGTGGGTAAGTTTTTAGTGGCTGGACCGGTATGTATTTCTCCACTGCATCTCTCATAACACACTGGAAATTCTCGAATTGTGGATCTACTTGTCTTATTGATGGTTAGAGTCTGATGAAGTTATTTATTTCCTCATAAATGGCAGTTAGAAATTTTTTTCTAGTTATTTTTTGTGTTTGCTTAGGTGGAATTTTCAAATGTGTTTTCGTCTTAATCACCACATGATCACTGTGGCCAATGGGAGGTTTTGTAGAAAGATCAAAGGTGCTTCTAGGATCCTTAGCGAGCAAAAGGTCCAGAAGTGATATCTGATTATTACTGTACCTCGTTGGAAAATTTACAATTTAATGCACCATTTGTATACTTCCGTCGATACTTCCTATTTGGATATCTAATTGCAACAATTGGTGCTTCCATTCTGTAATTGCTAGAAATGCTACAATTTATATTATTTCCACTTATTTGGTTTTAAACTAAAATACATACACCCCCACCCAATGACATCAAAACACAGATAGACGGATCATCCCATTCATAAACTATTATTTGTTGTGTTGACAAGACCACCCATGGGCCAGGGGAGGTGAGTTGCTCGCGGGGTCGGGGTAGGGAGACATCATTGCTCAAAATGGTGTAAAAAACTCCGCCCACACGTGAATATATCTCGAAATTTAATTGGATGAATAAATAAAATAACAAATTGACAAATAAATTGAAAATATTCGATACGAGCCCTTTATTCTGGGAGTACCAATATCGTGTTAGTCGTTTCTTGTTTAACGCTAATGAATAATCCCTGTTTGCAATAAAGATAGCTATTTACTACAATCAACACCTGCTTGCCATTCAACAAGCCGCTTCTAGGCGGTGTTTTGCTATAATCTGCTGTTGCCAAATTGAGTTCCGAAATAAAATTGAAAATGTTAATTAGAGGAGAAAAATATATTATTTAGGGATTCAAGACAAAATTTGGCATTCTCAGTGGTGGGGATAGCACAAAGACCCAAAAGAGACAGAGAGATGTTGTCATACGAAAATTTTGTTTATTGTTCGGTCTATCTGTGTTTTGATGTCATTGCCCCCACCTTTCTGGCTTATCTGGTCTTGACGGTATGCAGTATACCCATCTATGTTAATCAAGCTATCACACAAGCTTTGTAGCAGCCAAGTTTCTGTAAGTAATTCAAAAGTGGGATTTGATGACATAGCTCTTAGTTTCTATTCATCAATTTTATTAACTACTGAACTTAAATTACTATACCAAAATATAACTTCAACCACCCCAGACATATTTAGTTTTTTCAATTTTTTCGACAATTTTAGGTGCCCCATTTACAGGGGCGCAACTAGCTTGTTGGTTTTGGGGGGGCTTGAGCCCCGGGTCTCTATAAGTCGATTTGGTGACAGTAAGTATATGATGTTTTTCAAAACTTACTATTGTACATATTTCACAAATGTCTAAATTTGACGGAAATACTCTGCTATAAACTTTGTTCTTCGATATAATCTACGTTCTTAGTTGAAAAAAAAAAAAACAAAATTATGAAAGACATTTTTATGTACAGGGTGGCCCGTTTATTTTGTCCTATATCGATATATGGGAATCTCTCGGGACATCTAGATATGTTATGACAAAAAGTATTACGTATACAAAAGTTGTAGAGTTTAAATCATTAATTTGATTTTTTTGTATGATTCCCTTTGATCAAAGTCCGACTTTAAAATATTTATTTTCAACGTCTAACGTTTTTACGGTTATCTAAAAATTGGCCGTTCCCCGGAGATAACCGTAAATAAATCCGAAACCGTGCATAACAACCTTATCAAACTATACAGGGTGATTTACGTAGCCCGGGTATTAGCTTGCAGGTAGATTAGATGGTATTTGTACTAATCCACTGCAAACTGCACAATTTCTAATACACGAGCTACGTGAATTACGGTGTATATATTTATATTTGTCTTTGCAAGCGCTATCAAAAAATATAAAAATATACTGGGCGTTCTATTACAAGAAAAAAATCTGATGTGTGACACTTTTTTGACACCCCCTGTATATGCGCAAGTACAAAAAGCAAATAAATAATGATTTAAGTCCTACAACTTTTTGCCATAAAATATCTAGATTTCCATATATTGAGATAGAACAAAATAAACGGGCCACCCTGTACATACATAATATGTAAGTTAAAATATATTGAGTTTAAAACTTCTCAAACTACTTAAATTGGTACTAAAAACAACTTAAAAACTGAAACAAGTTCTGTTAAATTAAATTCCTCCTAAGTGCACAAACAGACACGGACCAGCAGACGAAAGGGTTAAAAAACTGTTGTGTCACTGGAACGCACCCTACTTTAAGTTTCGTGTTTTTGATGCTCCCATAAAATAGCAGGTGCTTGAGAGGGCAAGGGAGAGGAAAAACGAATAGTTCAGTTGCGCGAAACTCTAGTGCATAAACAGTCCAGGACGCTCTAGAGCAGCTCAGGAGTGCATAAAGTGCGTCACTGGAAAGCGACTCAGATCTGCTCGCTCGGGTTTGGGAGGGCAAATGGCTAATTTGTGTCATTACCATCATGTTTGTGACCATCGGGTTTGGGGGGGCTAAGCTTCAGCTTGGGGGGGCTAAGCCCCCCCAGCCCCCCCCCTAATTGCGCCACTGCCCATTTATGTAGTTTATAATTAAATTTGTTTTATTTACCTTCAGCCTTTTTTTCTCAAGTTCTGTGAGAACATCCTTCAAAAACCT